ACACCAGACTCCCTCTCAGGTAGAGACCTGAGAGAACCCACATGGGGCTAGTGGAATAAACTACCCCAGCTGGCCAGAGCCCTTGGGACCTTTCCTTTTGGGACTGCCGAATTTTGCCACCCTTTCTGGAAATTTCTCTCTATTCAGTTCCCACCCTGAAGGCCTCAAGCTGCTATTTGATGCTCAGCGCTTCCTACAACCACTGAGATGTTCATACTCTCCTTTCCACTCCTCCCATCCGTGCCCGGTCTCTGTTGTACAAGATGACAGGGTTTTATCTGGAGAAACTTACCTTCACCAAGGACAGCACGACAGCAAACAGTCTAATAGGTTGTGTTTCCTGGGGAAATGCATTTGCTTTGTCTTGGGGTGACTCTAGTCCTGTGCCTTTCACTGCAAGGTGGGAGGTTTGCTTGCCCAGTGCTGAGTTTGTGGCCCCAAGTGTCGCGAAGAGCTCCACCAGATCCTTACCTGTGGTGACGGTGTCTTTCCCGCCCTTCTGAGGCCCTTCCATTGTGTTCTAGAGGGGAAAGATGCAGGGATTGTTCATACCGGCAGTGGATGTGACACCTGACACAAAACCCCACATTTTATAGATGAGGAAATTGAGGGGAGACAAAAGGACTACTGACGGTCACACGTAATTTAATGGATGAGCCAAGACAAAAGCCCAGGTCTGCTGACCCTCAGCCGTTCTGAGCACTAGACCGAGCCTCCTCCCGAAGAGGGTATAGACAGCGCCAACATGCCAGCACATGCATGTGGTTTCCTGTGACCTGTATTTAGCTCATAGGAGGCATTGAACATGTGCTGTCCGCCCAGAAGACCAATCAAGGAGGTTAGTGATTTCCTGTTGAGCTCCTGGTGTCTCAAGCTCTTGTCTGCCTTTAGGGTCTCAGTCCTCGCACCCCAAACTCAAGTTTGCCTGGCAAAGTATCCCCCTTTGGTAAATTCACAAAAGAAATTCCCTCCTCAGCTTCCATGGTGATGGTGGAATGGAGGGTGACCAAACATCCGCGTTTGTCCAGGAGTGAGAGCACTCCCTGATCAAAGGACCTTCAGTGTTGGAACTGGGAAAGTCCCAGGCAACCAGGATGAGTTGGTCATGCCAGGAGTAGGAGATCATCCTGAGTCCAAGCGCCGTGGAGTGGAGTGTACATCCAGTAAACAGAGGGAAGTCCTGATTTGTTAGGCTCACGGCAACTGTTACACTACAGAAGATCCATCTTCCATGTTCTTACTCGAATAGTCTTGTGCCAGTAGCTACCCCGGGGCATCTCTCTTCTGCCCACTCACCTTCTTGCATTGTCTTCCAGATACCTTTCTCCCGATCCTTCTCTTTCTTCCTACCTCCTACTTCCTGTTCTCAGGGAGGGTGTCCAGTCAGGCCCCACCCAAGAATGATTTCACAGCCTTCACTACCGGGAAAATCCCACACAATCCTCTCCAAAGCAAATCAGGACCTTGCTGTGTGCAAAGTTTCAGGGTATTTTCCTTGTAACTGTTCAAGGAGTTGATGCTGAAGAATGAATCTCCACCTGTGGAATTTCAGGGTCTATGACAGGTGAACAGAAAAAAACACTGTGAAAGAAGTGGCTTTTCCCAGTGCTCCTTGGGATCACGCCATACAGGATATGGTCCAAGCCCTCCACACACGAAACCAGCCACAGCAATTACCTTGGCAGGAAAAATAATTCCCTAAATATAAACAGCTTGGGAATCATTTGAATTTAAGTACCAAACGTCAAAACCCAGCTTCCGTCAGCCAGTTCCCAGGTAACATCACTGTAACTCCTTCTAATGCTATTTTAGAGCCAAAAGAGAAACGGTAGCAACTTTCTACACTTGGAATCTCTTCTTTGACCAAGTCCCATGGAAACTAGTCGACTCTGGCTTGTAAAGTCTGTCCCAGCATCTGTACAATTCAAGGGAGATGCATCCAAGCCGAGGAACCACCACACTGATTGTGCAGCTCAGTCCTGCATTTATGTCCAAGCAAGTGCCGCCCTGTCGGATGGAAGCTGGTCCTGAGCATTTGCTGCCATCCTGCCATCCTCGAGGGGGCTTTTCAAACAAGTATGATGGTTGGCTTAGGTGTCAGCTTGGATGGACCCTAGTACCTGGTGATTTAATCAAATACGGATCTGGGTGTTGCTGTGAGAGTATTTTGCAGATGTGGTCAAATAAAGGTGGCCCTCCAGGATGTGGGTGGGCCTCACCCAATCAGTTAAAGGCCTTAAGAGCAAACACTGAGGTTTCCCAGAGAAGAAGAAATTCTGCCTCGAGACTTCAATATCGACTCCTTCCCGAGTTTCCAGCTGCTGACCTGCCCTGCAGATTCTGGACTTAGCAGCCCCCACAATCGCGGGAGGCAATTCCGTCAAATAAACTTCTTCATATATTTATATTCTATTGGTTCTATTTCTCTGGAGAAACCGGACTGATGCCTCCATCCAGCTAAATTCTCTCCATGGAAACCCAGAGAAGGAGCAAACCTGAACGTAGTTCTCGTCTGTGGCTGGTCCCTTTCAAGGACGAGGCCTGTGGGGAGATTGGCTTTAGGATGTGGTTGCATGGAGAGCAGCACGGGGAGCATGTTCCTTAGAGATCAGCTTGTTCCCAATGCTGATGATTTTGAAACCGAGATGCTCTGTCTTCCGGTGAACTGCCCTTGAGTCATCTTGAATTGTGGTCTCCGGAGAGGGCTAGGGACGAGGGGGTCCTGAGCCTCCGAGGGAAATGCACAGCTGCCAGGAAAGTGACAGGAGTGGTGAGCACTGAGGGGCAGAGAAGGTGGTGCTGGAAGAGATGCAGACAGGGGGCTGTAGGAGGGCGGGAGCTGTTGCGCCTGGACTCCTGGAGACAGGAGTGAGCTCAGAGATCAGGTGACACCATCCACTCCTTTTAAATGTGAGGAAACAGAGACTTCTGGGTCGGGGGTACATAATACAGCCATTGCACAAAGAGGCCTGTGCCCAGGGCTGTGGGATGAAAGGCCATCAAAGGGAGATGGCAACCCCTTCCCAATGTTTCCCCGCAAACTGGGAGCCCAGGCAGGACCTGGGTGTGCTGTGGGGTGTGCTGGGAGGGGTCGGTCCTCGGGCCCTCAGGCACCATCAAACAGTGCTACTCACGTGATGTGTTTGGCCAGGCGACTGGTAGCAGGCCATTTATTCGGAGAATGAGAGGCTTAAATTGCTGCTCTCTCAGAAGCCAGCCTGCATAGAAAGAGAAGTGAAAAAGGGACTCCTTCGCAAGAACCGTCTAGGTTTTACTCAGTTTTCTCAATTACTTGTTGAGGATTTTTTCCCTCTGCAGTCACCGTGCCGCCTCTAGTGCAAACCGCCACAGCTCGGCCACTGGGTTCAGGGCTCCCAGGGTGTCCCCTTCCCTGCTCCGTCCCCTGCAGACACTGCACCCTCGCTGCCACATCTCTCCCTCAGGACTTCACCATCATCCTGCTTCCCCCGCTCAACAGCCTGTTCAGGGCTGGCCATCAGCACCCTCCTCATTTTATATCCATCGATCCCTCCATTAGTTCACTTAAAAATGGTACTAAACACCTCTATTGCCAGGCATTCCTCTCCCTGCACTTGGAGGACAGATCGACCCGTTCCAAGAACAGCTCCTGCCACAGAATCATGATTCCCTCCACCCACCTCGTGAAGCCCTATTGCCTGCACCATCTCCACCACACAGGACTGAAAGAAGCCTGTAGGGATGGGAAAGGGAGGGACACGCTTGGGAAATGGTGGGATGGTCTGGAACTTGGGCAGATTATCCTACCCTCATTTGCCAAAAGTAGTGATACCATCCTCCCTGCTTGCTCTCCTGGAGCATTGGAGACGGATGGCACGCTGGTCAGGAAAGGTTAACGAGGTGCCCTCATGAGAAACTGCCACTGTCAAGGGTGTGAGGCAGGGGAATGCCCCAGGAGCAAAGCCCTGCTGTTTATAACTCCATCCTGGCTGACGAGGGGGGAGAAATAATGTTCGTAAGGAATAAACTGCATTTATCAGAAAAAAAGCAAATGGTTTACCTGAGCAGATCAACGTGAGTCCTACTCTGAAATCTTTCTCTTCTCTTTAAGGTGGAAACTCTTTCCACCAAATTGTATTTAAAAAACAATAAGATAAAATTGAAAGATGAGCTTTCAGCCTGTTCTTCAAAGGGCATCCTATGACTTCTGGGGACAAGTGGGCGGGGGATTCAGGCCATTATCCATCACGCAGCAACGTGTGAGCACCTATACATGCCCCAGAAATGGGCGCAGCAGCCATTCTGTGCGCACGTGAAAACACTTTTGCACAAACACGAGAAATAAGCTTGTTAGTATCACCAGAGGGCTACAGTCTGAGCTCACTCAGTGCGAACTTTAGGTTCTGAAATATATGGTAGCAGTAATTTTTCAGCTTGCACTTAGTTCAGGCATTGGGGTATATAAAAGTCTGGACCATGATTATTCAGGTGACCCAGAAGCCCTCAGAAAAGCCTGAGGAAGAAGCTTTTTGGCTATGGTCTGTTTTTAATAAGAGCTCCTTTTCCTTCTCCCCACCATGTCTCTGTAACACTTGTGTGCCAAAGAAATTCTCTGCCAGGGTTAGTCCAGAGAATGGAGACCCAGACAAGCCAAGGAACGCTGCATCCCGAACGTGGCCATCCGCTGCCCTCACTGTTCCAAACTGGCCCGTGGTGCATCTCCCCACCCCACCGTTTCCTCTCCTTCATAAAGACGGTTTCCTGTATGTGATTCTAGACGGCAGCAGACACGGAACTGAAGACAGGCACCTTGCTGGAGACGTTCTATGACCCTGACCTCCCTCTAGGTTCTCTGTCAAATGCCCTGTTCTCAGGTTCCCCGTGCTTTGACCCGAGAGGGAAACAAGGTTTAGTAGGTTCCTTCACCGAGGTGGACCTGCATTTCCACAGAAACCAGGAGACGTCCACCCCCACCCCCCGCAGTAGGCAGAGTGACAAGCACTTAAGAGGGGGACTCTGGCGGGCCCTGGGTCCCCACACGGCCCTGCTCGGTGCTCCTCCTCTGCCTCCGGGCGCTGGCCCTGCTGGGGCCCCTGGGGGGCCTGAAGCACCTCTCTGGGGACATTCTTAGTGTGAAGGGGCAGTTTGATCTGCCACTTGGACTTGTGAGTTCAGATTAATATAGAAAAACAGCCACAAGCAGAAAGGTGGGCTACGGGTGCCTCTGGGGTCTCTGCTCAGTGTGGAGGGGAGGGCAGCCACAACGCAGGCAACAGGCACAACTCACCGTTTGCAAATGAAAGCCCTGCTTCACTTACAATGTTAACACTCCCCTATTGATACTGTGATTTAACTTCTCAGACAACATTAGCTACCACCCGGAATGCGGGGATGCGTGCCCTCCTGCTGTAGAGGACGGAAAGGCGTGCTTTTAACATGTGGAAGGCACGATGGATTTTCTTGTTATTAGCTAGAAATGTCTCTCCCATCTCATTTTTGCCAGGAAAAAGAAAAGAAGGCTAAGGATGAACTCCTCCAAAACAAAAATAAGTATTTTGGGGAGACATTTATCAGTTCCAAACTGACTTATCATGAATACTTTTGTGCCTAAAGTTAACTCATTCAGCTATCTCGGCATATATTTTGTACACATTTGATACACACGGAAGGGACATTGCCCAAAGGTACCAAATCCACACGGGCCTTGTGAGTTTTTGTGGTGGAGGTGAACACATAGGTTTAACTGCCTTAAGCTGCCCAGGCCGATACTCCTGCGTCCACAGCATGGAGAGAAGACTGTGGGTCTTGAGCAGCTACTTCCTGTGCACTGGAGAAAATGCAAATTGGTCATGGAAAACAGAGTCTCGATTCTGTCTTCAAGCATTCCCTCAGCGACTATGTAGCCTGAGATGGGAGGCCTTCCATTTGGGACAATTGTATGCCTTTTCCTCTTAATTGCCTATTCATATTCTTAGTTGATTTTTTTCTGTTAAATTATATGTACTTTTCTTGTTGATTCAAGAAAGGCCTTTATTTATGATACAAGAAAACAAAATATTACCTGCTCTATAGAACACCTGTTCACAGTCCTTTTCTGCCCCTTTCATTTCCATGTTCAGAGTGTTAATGGCTACTCAGGCCTCCTCTTTTCTTTCAGCGCTATCTCATGGAATTCTAGTGATGGCTTTTCAAACCATAGGAGCTTCTAATTGCTGCTGAAAGAAATGTCAGCAATAAAGAAGGGGAAAAATTGTTCTTTTCCCTGACAGCTACAGAGAAAAACAGCAAATATTATTCCTACAAAGGAGTCTGTGAGATATCGAGTGCTTGAAAATTGTAGCTCTGGCCCGTGAAAATAACCTTTCATCTCCAAAAGTCTGTGAAATTATGGTCGTCTTACTTAGTAATGTGCTTCTCTATTAGTGAGATGTAAATTGAAAGCTAGAAATTCCTAACCAGTCTAAATACTTAGGAGATTTCTTAGACAACTCCAAAGGAGATCCCTGATATTTCCCTCTTCTACCACAGGCATGCAGGAACAAAATGAAACACGACAAAATAGTCAAAGAGTTTGAGACTCTTGCCTCATTTAAATTCACATACGCGAAGTAAAACAGAACTGTCCACTGTTGTCAATGTCTTGCCAAGACCACCCCCTGCTGTTTGTCTCTTAATTAAGTTTTTTGCTCAGTCTGAAAATCTTAACAAATGTTTTCTTTATGGCTTCTGTCATCCTTAAAAAGCCCTCCTTTCTCATCTCTTTATTTAAAAATATATTACTTGTGTCCACTCAAAAATCTGCACATGAATATTTATAGCAGCTTTGTTTGTAATTACCAAAACTTGGAAGCAACCGAGATGTCTTTCCATAGGGGAATGGATAAAAATACGGTGGTACCTCCAGATAATGAAATTTTATTCAATGCTAAAAAGAAATGAGCTATCAAGCCATGAAAAGACACAGAGGAAACTTAAATGCATATTACGAAGTGAAAGATGCCAATCTCAAAAGGCTACATACTGCACAATTCTAACACCATAACCTTTTGGAAAAGGCGAAACTATGGAGACAGTAAAAGATCAGTGGTTTCCAGGGGTGGGGGTCATGGATGAATAAGTGGAGCACAGATGACTTTTAGGGCAGTGAAATTATTCTGTATGATATTGTAATGCTGGATACATGTCACTATACATTTGTCAAAACCCATAGAAAGTACAACACAAAGACTGAATCCTCCTGTAAACTGTGGACTTTAATTAATAACACTGTTTCAATATTGGCTTCTCAACTGCAACAAACATACCACACTAATGCAACATATGAATTTGGGGGAACACAAGCATCCAGACCATAGCAAGCATTAAATGCATATTTCAAAAATAAGAAAGTTCTCAAAAAAGTAATTTTTGCATCCACCTTAAGAAACTAGAGAAAGAAGAGCAAAGCAGACACAAAGCAAGTAGAAAGGTCAAAACATGATAAAAATGAGAGCAGAAATCATGAAATTAAAAACAGATAAAACGATAGAGAAATATCAATGAACCCAAAAACTGTTTCTTTGAAAAGACCAATAAAATTAATAAACCTCTAAAAAATATTTTCCAAGCAAAAAAAAGGAGAAGACACAAACTACCAAGATCACCAATAAAAGAGGAGACACCACTACCCACCCCACAGAAATTAAATAGCCATTAGGGAAATGCTGTGAACAACTCTATGCCCATAGACTTGATGCTTTAGGTGAAATCATCTTTAAATAGTCTTTCAATTCCTTGAAAGACACAAACTACCAAAGCACACTCAAGAAGAAACAGATAGCCTAAATAGTCCTACATCTCTCAAGGAAATTAAATTTATACTTTAAAACCTTCCAAAAAAAGAAACTCCAGGCCCAGATTATTTTGTTGTCTAATTCTATCAAGTATTTAAAGAAAAAATAATGTCAGCTCTACATTACCCCTTCTGAAAGTAAAAAAGGAACACTTCCCAACTCATTTTACAAAGCCAGCATTAACACTAAAATCAGGGAAAGACATTGTAAGAAACAAAAGTTGTCATTTATCTCTCATAAACATAGATGCAAAGTTCCTCAACAAATTGTCAGCGGATGAAATCCAGTAATATATAAAAAGGGTAATACCCACGAGTGTGTTTCATCACAGAAACGCAAGGCTGATTCCACATTCAAGCATCAGTCAGTGCAATTCACCGTGTACAGACTAATGAAGAAAAACCATGTAATCATCTCAATAGATGCAGGATAGCATTTGACAAAATTCAAGAACCATTATAAAACTCTGAAAGTAAGAATAGAAAGTAAGTTCTACAATCTAGTAAAAGGCATCTACAAATATATATAATGGTGAAATACTGAATGATTTCACCCTAAGATGGGAGAAGTAGCAAATTTGAAACTATAGTATCCTAGAGTTCAACTACTCAGCAAATATATTGTAGCTAATGAGAGCCAAGTTTCTCACTGTCACAGAAAGAAATTACAAATGAGCAAAAGAAGAATGCTAGAATAAACTGGTGCTGGACTGGAGTCAGAAATATCAGTATCAGTATCTTTTAGTACCAAAAAGTAAGGAAGTGCAAAATTAAGGGGTTGGGGGTTGGCAGCACATCAAAAGGAGACAAGAGGCAACCTGAAAGAGCTCCCAATGGCCAAAGTTTTCTTTAGATATAGATATAGATATAGATACAGATATAGATACAGATACAGATATAGATATAGATATAGATATATATCTTTGTGAGGAAGATTGGTCCTGAGCCAACATCTGTGGCAATCTCCCTCTATTTTTCTTTTTTCATATGTGGGATGCAACCACAGCCTGGCTTGATGAGTGGTGTGTAGGTCCGAGCCCAGGATCCAAACCTGTGAACCCCAGGCCACTGAAGCAGAGGGTGTGAACTTAACAACTACGCCACTGGGCTGGCCCCCATCTCAATGGCCAAAGCTTTCTTTTTATACAGATAGTCCAGCTAATAAACACAGAGGGAATGATAAAATTAAAGTATCAGCATTTTATAACCGCAATAAATGAATGGATCTAAGCAGTGATCCTAAACGATTGCTAGGTATCACTAAAGAGATGCAACCAGCCACCATACGCCTCCAGAAGGAAGTGGACGCACCATTTACAAGCTGCAATGTATGAACCTGATGTGGATCCATATTCAAGTAAAATGTAAAAAGAATTATGACAGGAAACTGCAAAAACTGCCTGGATATTTAATATTAAATATTTGTTTTTCAGATGTGATATTAATAAAAGGGAGAATCCTACTGCTTTAGAGTTATTTGCTGAAATGTGTACAGATGAAATGATATGACATCGAGGACTGGCTTTCAAAGAATCAGGAGAGGAAGGGATAGAGGTTTAGATGAAACGAGATTGCCCACAATTGACAACGGTTGACACATAATGATGGATACATTGGGTTCTGTGCACTATTTTTTCCAACTTCTCCATATATAGAATTTTCCATTTAAAAAGTTTTCAAAATATATTGACAAAGGTTTATCAAAATGTGCAATATTTCAATTCTTTCCAAATGTTTTAGATATATTGGGTTAAAGAGGATACCTTTCAGCCTCTCAGTGAAGGAGTAAGAAATACGGTATCGTGATTTGATAGGTCTTGGTAAAGGCTTTTTGGTGTGTTTCCCAGATATTTTGAAATCTAATGTCCCTAATGACTGGCTAATAAATCCTTTTGCAAGGCAAGCAGTTTACACTGTTTTGTTTTCAACAAAAAGGAAGACAGATATATCCATTAATAGACAATTAAAAATTAATGTTAGATCACTATGTGTGTTTTGGCATTTATCTTGGAAAGAGTTCAAAGAATTGAGTGTCACTGCTGTAACAAAATTGTCTCCATTCCTATTTATTTATGTGAATGAGGTTTCTCCGTGCCTACACTGATTAAAACAAAAGATTTTCCAACATAAAAATCCATTACGATAAGATACAATGCTGTGAAGGAGGTAAATGGACAGTCAAGGAGAAAAAAAACCTGTAAAGTTTCTATTAGAAAAGACCCTGTTCATGTATTTTTTAAATAGCTTATGATCGGTATTCAATTTCTATGTTATTTATAATATTTTTAAAGAAATAGCAATTTTATTTTCAAATGTTAAAACTACAATGTGCCAGAAATTGCATTCTTTGCAAGCATTCACAAGGAAAAAAATTTTAGAAGTTCAGTTTAAAATGCTCAAGACAGCACCTAGATTTTAAAAATTCTTTTAGAGAATACACAAGCAAAAAACTTTGAAGACCATTGCTCTAAAGAAACTCTTACAGGAATGTATGAAGATATTTTTATAAGAAACCTCATAATGGTAAAAGCTAGGAACAACCCAAATATCCATCAACAGTAGATTGGATAAACAAATCGTAGAATACCCATACAAGGGAATAATATGCAGCAGTAAAAACGAACAAAACACAGTTACCTGCGTCAATGTGGATAAACACCACATACATTATGTTGAACAAAAGAAGCAATTTCCGGGAGCATACAGAGTCGGATTCCGTTGTTTCTAGAGGCAGAAACACAGGAAGTGAGGCAAAAGCTCATCAGTAGGGATATCATGGGAATATTGTGCAGCCATTAAAAAGGACTATTAGGATGGCTAAAATTAAATAGACTGGCCGCACTAAGTGCTGGCAAGGATGTGGAGGAACTGGTTGGGATATAAAATGGTGCAATCACTTTGGAAAACAGTTGGTCAGTTTCTTAGTCTAAGCTAGCCATCCAGGAAGAAAAGGCAATTCTTTCTCCAACCATTCCAACAATAACTCCAGGACTGAGTCTTGTGGGACAGCCTCAGATCACAAGCCCACCCCCAAATCCATCACTGTGGCCACGGTGACAGGATGCACCGATTGGCCTGGATCAGGTGCTCACCCCGGATCCCCTCGGGTGAGAGGGGGTGAAGTTAGGTCACTTACAGCACAGGGACTGGAAGTGGGGGACTGTTTCCAGAGGAAAAGCAGAGGCTTGTTCCCAGAAAGAGCGGGAATGGATGCTAAGCAGCAAAAACAAATGACGTTTGTTAAAATTGTCCCAAAAAGATTAATCAAAATTGAATGTTTCCATTCAGGTATCCACAGTGTTGGTGCACACTAGAACAACGTGGTTTTGGGACTTATTTATGCATAATTCTAGTAAGTATATATCATTTCTAGGTTACTTTCGAGTTTTCTTTGCAATTTTTACCTATTTTCAGCCAGTGATGCCCTCTCTACCAATGTATACCTGTCTTTCCTGTCCCACCAACAGTGGTGACTATTTCCAGCCTCTCCCACGGAAGAGGAGGGCATCTCTGCCCGCCCTCCCTCCTCATTCCCATGCCTCCCACCTGCCGCCACCTCTGCTCCTCCTTCTTCCGGGTCAGGGCCACTGCTGGATCCCGTCGCTCCTCTGGCTGGCTTTCTCCCTTGTTTTTCCAGAGGAGATCGTCAAATATCTATGATAAAAAAAGGTCTATGAGAGCAAACTTTCTGAATTTCTTACAGTGTGAAAAAATTCTTTTTTTCTGCCCCTTCGTTCAATAGCTGGATTGACTGCATTTAAAAATCCCAGTCCAAAACCGTTTTCTCTCAAAATTCTGACATTGCTCCATCTGTCCCCCAGCTTACATTAGGTCTGATGCCAATCTGATGCCTATACCTCTGTGAGGGCCTATACGTTTGTTACTGTGTTGTTTGTTGTTTAAGGTCTGGAATCTTCTCCTTAGACTTTGTTAGTTGTCAGTGCCACCAAGTCCATTCCCCGTCTAGAACCCTGCCTGGTCTTTGCATCATCATCTCACCTCCCAGTGCTATTTCAGAGGGTTTGCGTGGCCAGTTTTGTCAGAAGTGGGTGACCAGGTCCTTCTTCCTAGTCTGTCTAGCCCGGAAGCTCTGCTGAAACCTGCCCACCATGGGTGACCCTGATGGTATTTGAAATACCAGTGGCACAGCTTTCAGCATCACAGCAACACACAGCCACCACAGTGTGACAATGACAGACGAGTGATGTGGTTCCCTGGCGGGAAAATGAACCTGGGCCTCGGCAGCGAGAGCACCAAATCTTAACCACTAGACCCCCGGGACTGAAATTTCATGAAGATGGGTCGGAGTGTGAAACAGTATATTTTTTCCTATTTCTTGTGCTTCCCACTAAGTGGGCTTTTCATGCTGCAAATGAAAATCCTTCCTTAACTCTGTGTGATTTGCTTCTTATTGACCTTTCCTCCCTAGCCCTTTCTCTGCCCTCTCTTTCAGACGCTCCCGCTGGAGGAGATTTCCCTAGCAAAACCGTGGCCATGGGGATTGTCCTCTTTCACTCTTATCTTGTCTTTCATATTTCAGGCCTCTTTCTCTTTTCATTCTTTTATGTTCTAGATTTTTCTTGGACTTTTTTTAACTTCAGCAACTATATTTTTAATCTCCAAGTAACTCTTGCCCCTAATGGTCTCTGCACCTAGTGTGTTCTTATTGCTGATAGATGCGATGTGGTCCCACTGTCTTCATCTTGCTCAAGGTGCTATTTGGATGCTCTTCATTTCCCTCTGTCCCTCTTAGGGTCTGTTTTTCTGTCAGCTCAGTGAGCCTTGTGCTTCCCTCACGTACCTGGTCGTCCTTGGCTCTCTGTTCATTCTTACAAAGGAAGGAGGAGGCAGTCTGTGCGGGCTGCCTCTGCCCATGTGCAGACTTTCCCCAGGCCACCGCCTACCCAGGAGTCTGATTAGGGGCCCCTGTCTGTCAGGCAGGGAGTCCCAACTCCCAAAATGTCTGCAAAAGGGGCCTTTGCTCTGCAGTGTCACGGCCCTGCTGGGAATCTCAGCTCTCCCCAGAGAGATGGCTCAGTCACTTTGGAGGATGGCTCTTCCAGGTTTGTGAGCTTTTGTGCTCTCTGCCTCGGGCCACACTGCACCCTGGGTTCTCCGTGCAGGTGGGGTCATTCCACGGACCCGAGGATGTCACGTGGTCTCGCTTTCAAGAAGTAAAGTGACAGGGGCTGGCCCCGTGGCCGAGTGGTTAAGTTCGCGCGCTCCGCTGCAGGCGGCCCAGTGTTTCGTTGGTTCGAATCTGGGCGCGGACACGGCACTGCTCATCGGACCACACTGAGGCAGCATCCCACATACCACAACTAGAAGAACCCACAACGAAGAATACACAACTGTGTACCGGGGGGCTTTGGGGAGAAAAAGGAAAAAATAAAATCTTTAAAAAAAAAAAAAGAAGTAAAGTGACAAAAGCAGATGGTTTAGTGATGAAGCCACATAGATGCTGGCTGAGAGAGGACAGAGAGGATCCAGGGGAGGCCTTTCTTTAATTTTTTAAAAGTTCTTTAATGATTTAATTTAAATTACTTTTTTGATTAAGGAATATTCAAAATATGCGAAGGGTACACAATGAAAAGTCTCACTCCTACCTCATCTCCTAGATGCTCAGTTTCCTCACCTTGAGGTGGCCAAGTCTTTGTGTTTCCTTCCAAAATGATCCTACGCATATGTAAATAATATGCATATATTTATGTATATGTGTCCGTATATTTGCATGCATTGCAAAGAATATACGCAATCTCTTCTGCTACAGATCTGTTTCATAACCCAAATTTGCTGACAAGGGAGTGGTAAATCTGGAGAATGGTGATAGCACAGTGTGGAGTCGCGTTGGTGCACAGGTGATTTTTCCCAGAACTGTGATGTGTATCCCACCGCATAACAGCAATGGAGCAACACACCTCGTTTCATTCTTAGAAGTGGCCCCCAGCTCAGGACACTTCGAGTGCAGCAACCTAGGATTTGGGACCTAGAGATTCCTGGGCAACCAAGTTCAATGCCAGTTACTGGATCCCAGTCTTTCAGACTATTAACTAAAAGTCTTTCAATGCAAGTGACTTAAGGAAAAGATTATTGGTCACACACCCAAATGGTCAAGAGTGAATCTGGCTTCAGGCACTGCTGCAGTCAGAGCTCGAGCAATATCATCAGCAGTGGTTTTTCCCATCTCTCAGCTCTGACTTCCACAAGCTTTCTTCCTTCTCAGGCTCCTGGCGTGTCTCTGGCGGCTCCAGGAGGACCTCTCATGGGGCAATATGGCTGCTGCAGCTCCAGCTTTACATCCTTCCAGGTTCAAGTTCAGCGTAAAAAGCAAGAGCCTCTTCTGGTAGCCCTAAGATGTATTCGCATGTGACCGGCTTGGGCCATGTGCCCACTCCTGAAACAACCACCCTGGTCTGAGGGAAACAATCTGCTGTTTGATCTAAGATTGGGTCACGTGCTTTATCCCTGGAACTGAGGATAAAGCGCCACCACGAACACACAGCTGGACAATGAGAGAGAAGTGGATCCCCAAATGGAACTCCAGGGCTGTTCCCAGAAAAGGGGGAACGAATGCTGGGGGCCATCTGCTTACGAGATTCATACTAACACTAGCTCATTGGTTCTCAAAAACTACTTTCCTCACCCCATGTCTCAACCAAAAATGGTGGGATAACTTGTCAAAGCCTCCAGACGATTCTGGTATATCTCCTAGTGGGAATGTTCCTCCAATCCCACACTGAGAACCACTGCCCTACTCAATTACCACCCAAATAGGCCCCATTGATCACGATGCAAACTGAGTCGAAATGGCTCAAACTCCATGCACAGCTGGAAAAAACAATTCATGCCATTTACTGATTCATCCAACAAATATTTAGAAGCCATCCTCTCAACTGTCTCTAATATCATTCTTGTATGTACAAGACAGGAGGGTTTGTTCACAATTCATTGCTGACTTCAAAATCTATATTACCCAAATTGTCCATCGACACAGAACGAATGAACAAAATGTGCTATATGCATTCCACGGAATATTATTCATCCTTAAAAGGAAGGAAATTCTGATACACACTGCAACATAGGTAAACCTTGAAGATCTTAAGCTAGACAAAAAACAATACATATTGTATGATTCCATTTATATGAGGCCACTAGAGTTGTCAAATTCACAGAGACAGAAAGCAGAATGGTGGTTCCCAGAGGCTGGAGAGAGAGGAAAATGGGGAGTTAATGTCCAATGGGGACAGAGTTTCAGTTTGGGAAGATGAAAAAGTTCTGGAGACAGATGGTGGTGATGGTTGCACAACAAAGTGAATGTCTACTTAATGCCACTGAACTGTACATTTAAAAGTTGTAAAATATGAGGCTGGCCCCGTAGCACAGCAGTTAACTGCCCACCTTCCACTTAGGCGGCCCAGGGTTCACTGGTTCGGATCCCGGGTGCGGACATGGCACTGCTTGGCAAGCCATGCTGTGGTAGGCGTCCCACATATAAAGTAGAGGAAAGTGGGGACGGATGTTAGCTCAGAGCCAATCTTCCTCAGAAAAATGAGGAGGATTGGCAGCAGATGTTAGCTTAGGGCTAATCTTCCTCAAAAAAAAAAAAAGAAAGAGAAATGATAAAATACTTTAAAATAAAAATAAATAAGATATCACTAGTGAAAATCAGTAGCAAAAAACCTGCAAAGACTTCAAAATTTTGTATTATTTCCAGCAGAAAATAAAATAAATAATGTAGTAAGTTTAAAGAAATAAAATAGATCATCAGTGGTATGACTTAGGAAAAAGAGAGTATCAAAAAGGAAAAGGAGGATTTGAAAAAGAAGCAGATATAAAATCTAGCAATTTAAAATTGGAATTTAAAATAGAATGGTTAAAAGCAGATTATACATAACTGAGGGAGAAATTAGTGAACTTGGCAAATAATTATAAAGAATTTAACCAGAATGCAGCAGGTAGAAATAAACAGAAGAAAGATGAAAAATACAAATGGGGTTAGGAGATGAGGAAGCTGGAATGAAAAGGTCTAAGGTACGTCTGATCAAAATTTGAGAAGGAAATGTTAGAGAGAATGCAGGAGAGGAACTATTCAAAAGCATCACTCAGAGAGTTTTCTAGGTTTTAGAGAGAAAAGCATGAATTCTTCTAGTTCTGCTATGTGGGACACCACCTCAGCATGGCTTGATGATTGGAACTAGGTCGGAGCCCAGGATGCGAACTGATGAACCTCGGGCCACAGAAGTGGAGGCCGTGAACTTAACCACATCTTCTTTATCCAATCATCTATTGACAGATACCTAGGTTGTGCCCATATTTTGGCTATCATGAAGACCAATGGGCAGTGAAGAGCTGCAGAATGAAGTGGAAGTGAAAGAAGTTGCTATGAGGAAGGGAAGGGTGTGCAGGGTGAGCCTGGGGGTGCTGGATGACCCAAGGTGAAAAATAAGCACATGCTTAGTGCGTTAGCAAAACTGAGACACTGAATAAGAATGTTGCAGTGAATATGGGGGTATAGATATCCTTCAAGATCCTGATTTCATTTGCTCTGGAAAGATCCAGAAGGGGAATTGGATCATATGGTAGTGCTATTTTTAATTTCTTGAGGAACTTCCACACAGTCTTCCATAGTGGCTGCACCAATTTACGTTCCCACT